CGGTACAGTAGCAATAATTTTAGTAGTGAGGTTATACAAGAATTTATAATTAGAGTTTTAGTTTTACTGAGTTGATAAGTAGCTATTAATATTTTTTATAAATTTTAATTTTCTGCATGCATTAGTTAGCAAATAAGATTGTGCCTATGTTCCGACTAAATACAGTGGCTTAGATAAGCTTATTTCTCTCTCGCATGAGTGTAAGTAGTCTGAGGCTGACGTGGTTCCATGGTGCAGGGGACCTTGGTTCTTTCTCATGCTTGAGGAGACATCCTTTTTTGTGTAGTACAAGACAACTCCCCACCACACCCACAGTCCAGGAGCAGGATGTGGGGAAGGCACAGCCCCTCCCTTTAAAGGCAAACCTGGAAGTTGTGTACATGACTTCACTTTACACTTGTTGGTCAGAACTTAGGTGGCCCCATTTAGCTGCAGAGGAGGCTGGGATATGTGGCCTTTTGAAGTTGTCTGGTTGAAAATCTGTTTTCTACTGAAGGAGAACGGGGAATTATGAAACACTGCCTGTCATACTTTCAAACATTTTGGAAGAAATTACAGAAATAAGCTTTGAAATGACAACTTACTGCACAAATTAATAAGTTTCATTTTCCATATTTGGTCATAAATCTTTTGAACTGTGGTGTACATATGCAGTATATACACATAAGGTCAGATTAGGAAAAACATGTCTCTAAACTTTTAAGTAGTGAAGGAAATTTGGGCCTAATAGCACAGTGTTTTGCAGAGTATTTTCTGATAGAAACATGGTTCTTGATTGCTGTGACTATACTGTATGTAAACAGTATTTGGAATCTAAGCTTCTGGGTTTTGTTTTAGTCATTCCTCGACCATACTTAACGTGTTGCTGCTCATATTCTCAGCAAACAATACTAGACCAACACTTGGGTTTTGTTAGGTTTTCAGTAAATGTTTGAGTCACTGAAGTAGCAAAGAGAATGGTGGCCGTGATGTTTAAAAATACATTAACTAGTATCTTCCTCTTTAATTTCTGTGGATTTGGGGAAAAAAAGAGGAAGATCTGGGATTCTTTTGAACTTAGAGAGTGCTGTTAGATCCAGTAGAGACCTGAGAAACTAATGGTTCTCAAGCAGGCTTCTGGAGAATGTGTCTAACGTGTGGGACTCCCCAGCTCATATACTTCTCTCTGTCGGCTTCGGGTGAGGCGCTGGCATCTGCCTTCGTAACTAGGACTCCGGGTAATCCTGGGGCTGTAGAGCATTTTGAGAAACTTTGGTATAGTTCATTTCTCTCATTTTAGAGAAGGAAATGAGTGCAGAGAAACTAAATGACTACCCAGTCACTCGGAAGAAGCAGGTCTGGGGCTGGCGTATATTTTCCTGATTTCTGATTCTTTGTTCTTTTTATAAAAGGGGACAGAGGATGGAGTACCACCTGCATTGGGATTTTATAGGGGCACCTGTCATTCTCAAGTCTGTTACTTTTTATGTGTGAGCTCACCGGTAGTGAATGATTGGCTCAATTACGAGCACCTTAGAAAAATAGTCTGAGTTAGTCAAGTGAATATTTAAAGGCGGGAAGATGAGGTTTTAAATAAGGTATTGATAGTGTCAGTGCTTCGGTGGGTATGGTAGCGTATCTACAGCATTAGGGTAGAAGGTAGGTGCTTCCTTGGCATGTTTAGAAGGAACAAAGGTAGGTCTTGTCTCCAAATTATTACTTCCTTTTTCATCTAGTTTGTTTGCAGTTCTCACTGTGAATTCACTTTTTTTCGATGAAGGTGAGAGTTGGATTCCCTAATTTAAAATGGAAACACTCCCAGAGGAATAGCATTTATTTGTTATCAGGTTAACTTTATTTTTATCAGTTAGCTGGCTGTCATTTTTAAAAACTGGTGATGAGTACCTGCACTAATGAGCGGTCATTCTTGGAAAGGGGGAAGAGTAGGGCACCTGTGCCCTTGCTTGAGGAAAATGAGGGGCGGGTTTGAGAAATGCCAGCTGTTGTATAGTCCTGGAAAGGTTTGTGGAGGCTTCTCTGGTGGCCAGAGGTTGGTAGCATTAGACTGGCACTTGACCTCCTATCACTGAGAGAGTGTTGGTAACAAGACTGTGGATAATTTTGCTGAGGCCCCACTGGGCCTGAGCGAGGAACTGCTGGAGCGGGAGGAGTGTTTATCATCTGCTTGGGGCTCTGTCCAGCAGTACTACAGTGTAGCAAACATAGAAGGTGTTGTGATCACCTGAGAAAGTTTAGTTTTTAAAGATCAACTAGTAATAAATACTCATGGTTTAAAAAAAAAGATCAAGCCACGTAGAATGATGTCAGCTCATTGCTCCTCCTCCCCATGCTCCATAGATAGTAGCTGTTCAGTTTTTTTCTATCAGAATTGTCCTATACATATATTAAAAATTTGGTATTTATGGGTGTGTTACAAAGCTATCAGTTTAGTGTGACCCCAGTTTATTTTTTTAAAGTGCAGGACACTGGGGGTGGGTTGGGGCGTGCATGTATGTACGTACACAGTGTCTGTGCATTTAAAAGCAAGTGGGATCATGCCAAACACGCAGTTTTGCAACTTAGCTTCTTGCTCTATCTTAGAAATATTCCCATATCCACTGATGGAGTTTCCTTTTTTCCTCCAGTGATTGGGAAATGTTCCATGTTATGGATGTACCACAATTTCGTCATCCTTGTACACATAACTGTATTCTGTGAGCGTTAGCTGTAGGGTAATCTAGAAGGGAAATTGCCGGTTCACCAGATATGTATGTACATTGAATGTTTTGCCAAATTGTCTTCCAAAAAAGTAGCACCAATTTATACTTCATGAGCAGTGTCTGAGAGAGTGCATGGTTTCCCAAATTTCACCAACACTGGTGTTAAAAATTTTAAATCTTCGTCAATTTCATAGGTGAACAATGGCGTCTAGTTATTTGGATTTTCATTTTTGTTATGAGGGAACATTTTACGTTGTACCAGAAGTCTTATACTTGAAATAATAAAGACGTTTATTCATTATCAAATATAGTTAAAAATATTTTCTGGTTCTATTGAACGAAAAACTAATGTGTTGATAAATTGTAAATGCTTGTAATTGTAAATGCTTTGATAAGTTGTAAAAGGGGATTCTTGTTCCCTTCAAATTAAGTAAACTTTTGACTGCCCTCTGTATAAGATATGTGAATTACGGTGGTAGAAGCTCTGACTACAAAAGTGAATAAGATTTCATTGACTCTGCTGTTAGTGTTGACATAGATGTGTGTATAAGTCAATGTTAGCACAGGTAAGACCTTGGATGCTAATAGGTACTGACATATGAAAGACTAAGAGAACACAGGAGGTAAGACAATTCTGAGAATTTGAGCATTGCTTTGTGGAGGAGGTGGGGCTGGATCTTGGTCGGGAAGAATGGCTAGGCTTTTTACAGTAGAACCTGGGGGATTGACAGTCTGCTGGAGGAGGTCACGTGGGCGGCCTTCCTGGTGGGGGAAGTGCAGGGCAGCTTTGGGGAATGACAGTTACGTGCCTGGAGTGAGTCAATGAGAGACAGAGACACTCAGAGAAGGAGGGAAATGAGAAGGGGAGAGAGACAGAGACAGAGGGAAGGATAGGGGAGGAGAGAGGAGGAGGGGAGAGAGACGGAGAGACTGGGGGAGGGTAGGGACACTTACAGTGAGAAATGAGAGTGATGGGTCACAAATATGAAGAATTTGAATCCGGGGCAATTGAAGACTTTTCAGCGGGGTGGTGATGACGGCCTGGAAGGCAGGGCCATTTCAGGTGTACAGGCATGAAGGAGTAGGAGGTAAAAAGACAGATGGGAGACCCAAGTTTGGAACACCTTAAACATTTCTTATTTAATTTTCAACAGAACAAAGTGAATATTTCTGGATTCAAACAGCAGTGTGGCCAAGTTTTTGGAGATAGAGAATTAAACTTTGGTGTTAGTATAGTAAGAGGTTGTAGGAGTGGAATGATTGATTTAATTGGACAGTTGAGACTATTTCCTCCTGAGGACATGAACTGTTGAATAGAAGACAGACTTATTGTAGTTCAAACCTTTCATTAGGGACAGGTGGAAATAATCTGTAGCACCATTAAAGATAAGCTGAAAAATGGGGCAGTGTCAGAAGGCAGTGGCAACAGCTGTGAATCTGGAAAGGAAAAGGTATCACGATTCATAGTTTGAAAAGTAGAGTAGCTGAACATGTGAAAGTTTAGTTTATTCTGAGTGTTTAATTTGTTTTTAGTATTGTGAAAAATATATTCTGTTTATTTTCACATGTATGCTTATTTTGGGAGACAGTCATCTAAAAATCATTTATCTTTTGAGGTGGATAGAATTATTTATTGAGTACCTACTAGTGCCAAACATGGAACTGGGGCCTGGAGTCAGTGCTAAAACAGAGGCTGCAATGTTGGTGCCATCGTGGCAGTTAAGTTACGGTGGTGGGATCTTTAATAGTCTCTGGAGTAAGCTTAAGGACTCAATCTAGAGTAGACATAAATGGTTTTCATAAAAGGGAACACAGAGTTTATGAAATTGAATAATCCTTTTTTGGCCCATGTTCCCATTTTTATTAGGAGCAATGGGAAGAAGACCTCCTCCCTGTCAGTGGAGGTGCTCAGGTGTTTCAGCCACTGCAGGCTTGGACCTTGGGGTCCTGGGGGTGCTGAGCATGTCGGGCATGTTCCCGTCTTCCCAGTGGGACACTGCGTAGTTGTAGGGTGTGACCTGGTGGCTCATGGTGGCCTACCTGGTGTAGGGGCTGGGGGAGGGCAGAATTATGGCGAGGCCTGGATGGTCAGCAATGCGACCAGCACTGGCTCCTTGGCCCAGGTGCTCTTGAGGTAGGCAGCGAGTCTCCCAACCATCTTGATCGCGGTGGTGGCGGCCTGCAATTGAATAATTTTTGTTGCTGTGTTTCAAAGGTGAAATTTTGATCTCGTTTTAGAGTCCTTTTGACAGTTAATTTTTTTGTTCCCTTTTTAAAACTTTTTTCAATTATAGACAACATAAAAATATGGAATGCTTCACAGTGTGCATGTGATCCTTGTGCAGGGGTCATGCTAATCTCGGTATCGTTCCAATTTTAGTATATGCGCTGTGAAGTGAGCACTTGACAGTTTATTTTGAGTGAAAGTTTATTTCGATGTGAATAGGATTCCAGTGCTTAAGACAAATACGGTCTGCTGAAAAATTTGTTCTGATTTGATCATTTACCCTTGAAAAGACCTGTAACTGTCCTCACAGTGGTGTTTTTTACTTCATTTTTACATCAAACATGTTCATTTATTGGGAGACATTACTTCTGTGGTACAAAAGATTGTTTCATATAAGTTTTTCAAAACAGCAATGGTAAAATTATTAGGATCTCATTGAGTTATTTTACAATCTCATTTCACTTTTTTGAATTTCCTTTATAACGATTCTGCAGTACAGTTCAGAACGTCAGTAAAGCTAGGTAAATTTACCTAAAAATTGCCCTGAAGGCCCGCAGTTACTCAGCAGTAATAGCGAGCTATGCAGAGGGAAGAACTTGAAGACTGGAGTCTTAGGATTCATAGGGTACAGCAGGGAGGAAGGCTCGTTGTTGAGTAAGACAGAGATACAGACATCTGAAGTGAAGGATGTGGGCATGTAGGGAAGGTCAGGGAATAAGGAAAGTTCAGTAGAATGGGCCGAAATGGAAGAGGGATTTGAGTAAGTGGATGAACAAAAATTGTGTCATTAAAAAAAACTCTAATGATTTATTGTGACTTCAGGGTAAAAACCAAATTAGTCGCAGGACACCCCACCGGCGTGGTCTGTCCGGCTTACCCAGGCAGTCTCATTCCCAGGTCGCTGGGTCCCTGTCTTGCAAGTGCTGCTGCTTCAGCCAGCGATCATCGCCTTTCTTTTAAACTCCTTTTCCTCCTTTAATTTCAGCTCAGATGTCACTTTGTCAGGGGAAGCAGCCTCCCACCCCCATCTTCTCTTCTTTTAAAATATCTTGTGTCCCCCTGTACTCCTTTATTTGGTGATGTTTTGGTATTTATTTGATTAATACCCTCCAGACAATGAAGGTGGTAGTGTTTTGCTCCCCCTTCCAATCTCAGGGATTGGCGAGGGTTTGGCACATAGTAAGCACTAAATAAATGAACTACATGTTTTGATCTTTACTAGTTGGTCTTAAGGACCAAGGAACTATGTCAGAGGAATGTGTGCATTTGGAGTAAGAGCTGGACAGGGAATATAGGAGCCTTGGGGAAAAAGAAAAAGGTGAATCTTTTTAAAGATAGGAGTGGAAAGCTCTTTGTAGCCAGGAAAAAGACAAAATTATTTACTCATGGGTTCATTAAATACATATGCAATATCTACTGTGTATGAGAAGCTAGATGTTGGGACTATGGAGTGGAGAGAGTGTGTGTTTTTTAAAGGAGTACATAATTTTAGTAGTTTGTTGAAATAGATACAGTCTTTGGTGGTCATTTGGAGAGGTTTAAAGTTGTGGTTTTAAATCATGGCTATTCTTCATGATTCCTAGCCAACAAAGTGAGGTTCATTCAACAGTTATATCCGGAATGTCACTCCAGCATTTATATTAACTATCAGGTTCACATTTAAAATAATCTTTAGCTTACTTCATTTAAAAAGTCTTAAGATTCATGGGAAATGGCTGGGAGAAAGGCAGAAAAATGAGGAAAGTGGTTTGTTTGGATGCTTTCTGGCTTTAACTTCTGCTTCAGGTTTGGATGACGGAACAAGAAGAATGATAGGAAAAGCTCATTGGATGGATTTTCAAAAGAATGATTCTTGTAGTTAGAAATTATTAAAGCTGTTGATCTTGTCAGGAGCATGAACTTTTTAAAAGCTTATAAGGGATTTGTTTTAAAATACTTCGGAACTTTTCTTAGTGACTAGTTTTTGTAATAAATATTTAGAAAAGCAAATATGCAAGTTTTATGGAAGGCTTCTCTGCATGGCCCCATGCTAGGCTCTTGGAGCGCAGTAGTGAGTTGCGTAGACATGCATGGTCCCTACCCTCACGAAGTTTTTAAATATAGTCAGAACTCATTGGAGAGATAGGTGAAGGAAACCTGGCTGTCGTCAGGGTGAGCGTTCTGTCCGTCCGCCCATCCATGCATCCATCCATCCATTCATCCATCCACCAACCTACCCACCCACCCATTTATTTCTTGAACTTACTTTTGGTGGCAACATGTTAGACTACTTTAAGCTACTTGTTGCTTAATCTCTGATAAGGGAGATAATATAATACCTTAGGTAAAATAGAAACACTGATCTTCAGTCTGTTGACATACTTCTAAAAAAGATGTTCATGTAAATTAGTATGTTTTTCCTCTTTAAAAAATAAGCTACATTTAATAATAATAACAGTAGCTACTATTAATTGATTCCCTGCTGTGGGCCAGACCCCGTACATATTATTAGTTATTTTAATATTCTCAGCAACTACAAGGTGGTTGGTATAAGTTATATAAGTTAGAAGACCGAGGTGCAGGGAAGTAAATTTGCTTAAGGTGAATCATAGTAGATTGCATTTGCTGCCTCCAGGTACTAAAAATCCTAGTGAACACTAAATTGTCCGCAAGTTAGGTATTTAGAGAGAAAAGAGAAAAACTTAACTTCTATAACTTATCAGTTGAAGAAATAGATAAAAGTTCTGTATGCTAGGATTGATGTCTTGTGCTACTGGTCTTTTGGATAATAAACAAGGACATCTGACAGCTTTCTACGTTTGGGGAATTCCTTACCTTAAGAATCTTGGTGGGAGGTAGAAATCTTCCATCATGACAGCCAATTGCCCACTTTCTCTGCGTCTTTTGGAGTTGGGATGCAGTTACGTGGCCTGGGGCTTCACTGCGCTGGCTCAGGAGCCAGTGATGTGCAGAAGCAGGCACATGTAGAATAATCTGTGTCCTGCAGTGCAGGGGATCGAAGCTACATCTGTTTTTCAGAGATGGGCAGTGACAGATCCAGCTGTAGCATTTGGTTCCTGGTGTCAGCGGTAGCTGCACAAGTTGCAGTGACTGAGTCCTGTGTTGTCTCCACTGGACCAGATCTGTGGTTTGAATTTTGGCTGTCCTTGATTATGTAGCCTTCCAGCTTGGCCCTCCTGGGGTTTTCTCTGAGTTGTCTAATATACTTTAATAACTTCCTTTTCAGTTTCAACAAAGCCAGTTAGTTTCTTTTGTTTGCAGCTAAGAACCTTTACTTGTGTGCTGCTAATTAAGATAATAGACAATTGTAAGGAACTCTCTAGGGTCAGCATTACCTGTATGTAGATCAGAACTTACTAATGAAAAGAGCTCACAGTACATATTAAGTGAAGTACTTATGAAACAGTTTGCTTACTGGTTTAGTGAATCTGCTGATCTGAGTACCCGCTCTAGGCTAGGATCTGTTCCAGGCCTTGGGATGCGAGAGTGGCGAGAGTGACAAGATCCCCGCACTCACAGAGCTTTTCTTCTGTCGTGAAATGTAGAATAAGCAACAAAGCAAATAACAGTGAAAAAGAGCGATAAACGCCATGCTACAAATAAAGATGGCATGATGTGATTGTGTGTGTGTTTAGAAGTTCTGTCTTATATATCATCTACTTTAAAATCAGTGTCGAGTCATGACTTCTGCCTTTGACTATGAGGCAGTAACATTCTGCATTTACTGTCCACTATAAACAGCAAAGTGGACAAAATATGCGGAAGAACTGTTTTCAGACATCGAACAGTAGGTAGTGCAGAACTGTGATCTCGAGCCCTGCGATGGCCCAGCTTTCCGCCTGGAAGCAGTTTTCAGATCTCAGTGCAGTGAGGGGGATCCCAGGTAGAGCCATGTGGCCTCACTGAGTTGAGGAAACAAAGATTGGAGTTAGGGGAGGCCAAGACAGTGTCACTTTGGGAAGCAGAGTTCTGGAGAGAAGGGCTGTGCAGAAAAAAAATTCTCTACATCTTCTTAGTGATCTCCTTAAATGACTGAATCCCAATCTGCCGTGCATGTATAGATACAGTTTCATAAAGGAACAGTTTCTGGGGTAAGGAATCCACTGGGAAGCTGTAAGCAGACGATTCTCAGCTCTCACATACGGCTGGAAATATTTGAGTATTTTATAGGCAGAGTAGAAAGATCTCGTTATGTGCTGTGTTCATTGAGACTCCAGAAGGGTCATATCTGAGTAGTAGGGCTAATAAACCAAAGAAAAGGTTACTCTAACTTTGTCTGGTAAAACCTTAAAAATATGCCCTGAAATGAGCAAAGTCATCTGAAAGTAATGTGTTGCCTGCCATCATGAAGTCCAGCGCTCTTTAAAGAAATATAACAAAACGCATCACACAACAATGTAAAACGTACAGCCCCCAATCAGAAATTACTAAATATGTGAAGAAGCAGGTTATTGTGACTTATAATTCGGATGTCAGTCAGTAGAAACCAGCCCATAACTGACATGTTAGAATTAACAGGCAAGGACATTAAGTTATCATTGTATTCCGTATGTTCAAAAGTTAGGCAGAGATATAGAAGGTATAAAAAACCTAAATAAAACTTTTAGTGATGAAAACTGAGATGAAAAATACACCGGATGTCATTCACAGAAGAAAAGTAAATTTGAAGACAACTGAAAAAATCAAAACAGACAAATGACAGAAATAAAGGAATTATCAGACAATGTTAAAATGGCTGCTATAAAATGCAGGGTCAGATTGTGGTTAATGTTGACATCTTGGTATATGAATTTTGCCTTAAAAAAAAAAAATTGTGACTGCTACCTGCAGTTGGCTTGATGTGTGTTAAGAGTAATTGAAAATTAATATTCAAACAAAGCACCATTACAGGGTGGAAGAACTTGATTAAGCAACAGTGTGTTGTTTCTTGACACATAATAGTCTCGCTCAAAATACATTTACAATCTCACAGTTTCCGTGGGTAGGATTTGTGGGCACAGCTAGCTGGGTCCTCTGCTTTCGGGTCTTCAGTGGGGTGTAGGCAACATGTTGGCTGGGCCGTTGTCTCATCTGAGGCTTGACTGGGGAAAGATCTGAGCTCATATTGGCAGAATTCAGTTCCTGTGCATTATTGGACTGAGGTCTCAGTTTCTTCTGCCTGTTGGCAGGTTGTCTG